ACACAGGGAAACAGGATTGAAAGTTAAAAATATAAAACAAGGATTTACTGAAAGAACAACAGGGGATGGAACAAAAGATAAGGGATAATAAAAATAAAGCTGGAACAGATATAATCACAAGGGAATAAAAGCAGAGATACAGTGTATGTGTTACCAATTATCCAAACAGCAAACAGTGAACAAAGTCAATAGTCAATGAATCTAATTATTTGAGTCAGAGTCAGGAGAGACAATCCGAACCAGAGTCAAGACAGGAAACTCACAGGAGAAGGTAGTTGGAGACTGGGCTTAGGCATGCCATATCTTTCTCCACGAAAGAAAGCTATCAGCTACACCTGTGCCTAGAGGTGCACCGATATATCGGTCACATATGGGATTGGCACTGCCAATAATATTAAATTTTGTTTTATCAATCAGCTTTTTTTGGCTGGTGTAGGTGATAATATCACTGATAAATGTTCCGTGCATGTGCACAGCACAGCATGCAGGCAGCCTGAGCACAGCTTGGCAGTGTGGAGAGTAGTATCCCGCTGATAAGTCTGTGGTGGGGTAAGGGGCATGGGAAAGAGAAGGGGCATGGGGGAGCAGATATAGGCCCCCATAGTGAGGGAGGGAGTGGGTCAGGGGCAGGCACTGCCCAGCCAGGTCAGTGAATATGCCCCTGGGAGCAGGACGGAGCTGCGTGCAGCTTGTTGGGGTGGGGGAAGGAGGGGCGGCTCCCCACTGCTGCATGGACCCTTGGGGGAGGCATGGGGGGCATCTACCTGCCTGGATTTGTCTGCGGGATGAGGGCGGGCTGACCATTAAGGGCTGAGGGCAGTGCCAGCCTCGGTTGGGGAGCTGGGTCAGGGCTGTGCTTGCAGCTGGCAGGGGTGGTGCTGGGAGGAGTGGCTGCAGAGTTCAAAAGTCACCTAGTCTTCCTGCTTGCTTGCTTTTTTCCTGGCATTTCAGAAATGTCAATAGAAGTAGCACTTTCCAGCATAGGAGTTTGTGGTCTTACTCACTTTTGCACGCAAGACTGCATTCAAGACCGGGGAGCCCTAGGGCCTGTCCCAGCTTGCTTGCTTGCTTGCTTTCTCTTCATTTGAGAAGGCAGGCAAAGCCACCTTGGAAAGTTCCTGGGTAGAAGTTTTCTGTTGCTATGTGACCTTGATGTGAAGGGAGGGCTGCATGCTCCCATTATCTCGTGTCACCAACCATGCTTTGCATGTTATCTTTCTCTGTGGAGGAGTCTGCAGTCATTAATGCAGTTCCTCAGGTTGGTGTGCTGCTCTCAGTCAAGTCTGTGTGTGGGAGCTGAGCTCTGCTTGTCCTCACTGTGCATCTCCAGGTTCTTTCCATCACCTGGGTGAGTCAGTGCACCCTGCTGGTCCTCCCACAGCCATTCCACATGTACAGGTCCGACATCTGAGGCCCTCCACAGTTCTGCCTTTGTGTGACTGTTCTCTGGAGTGATCTCAGTCCAAGTTCTCAGCCCTTCTATCTCTCTGTCCTGGGTGGGGTGTTGTACACCCTGGAGCCTTCTCAGCAGCCTGACTTTCTGGGTACCCTCTCAGCAGTCCCCTTTGTAGCTCAACATGAATAAAACAGCTGGTCTGCCTGACCCCAGTGGACTCCAACCAATGGCTCTGGCTGGCTGCATGAATAAGTCACTTGAACTCTACTCCCCTAAGGTTCAGGACAGATTCCTTGGGCCTCTTCCATACCTGCCAAACCCCTGACATGAACTTCTCCCACTTGGTCCCTCAGGCATGGTTGCCACTGCTTAGACTTGTACTTGGCTGCATTCTGTCTTGGGTCACTCTGCCCTCTGGGCCCTCTCAACCACTGTGGTCACTCTGCCTTTCTTGCTCACACACGTGGGCCTGTCCCTCTGGCTTATGACCTGTGGCCTAGACCCAGCCCTCGTGAGTGCACTGCTCCTTGCTGCCTGATTCTAGCATGGCTACTTGTATACTTCTAGGACTAAAGTGAGCACAACTGGCTTCCTGCTTATGAAGAGCCAGTTTCCCTCTGCTGCCTTTCTCCAAAGGAATGGGGGATGGGGACCCTAGGCTATTACCATATATAGCATGGGTGCACTGATAAAGATTTTTTTTACTGATACCGATGACTGATTATTAACTAGCCATACCAACTGATACTGATCTGATAGCTGATATGCAGCCTGGCAGCTTGGAGAGCAGCTCCCTGCTGGTAAGTCTGTTGTGGGGGGAAGGGGTGGAGGGGAAGGAAAAGACATGGTGGGGGGCAGATTGAGGCCCCCACAGTAAAGGAGGCAATGGGGCAAGGGCAGGGGCAGGGGCAGGCACTGCCCAGCCAGAGTGATGAATGCAATCCTACTGGGAGTGGGGCAGGGCCACAGGTAGCTCATCCAGGGGACTCAGGGAGGTGGGGGAGGTGGGGGGCAGCTCCCTGCCACTGTGTGTACCCCTGGGAGAGGCGTGGGGGGCATGTGCCCCCTGGATTTGTGTTCAGGGTGAGGCAGGCTGTTTGCTGCAAGCTTGGGTCCAGGGTCTGCACTGACTTCTTCCTAGTCAGGGAGCTGGGTCGGGGTTGCCCTTGGGGTGGGCAGTGACAGCGTTTGGAGGGGTGGCTACAGGGGGAGGGCTACAGCCACCCCAAAATTCTCTGTAGCCACCCCTACCCCCACCACTGCTGCCACCCACCCCGAGTGCAGCCCCAGCCCAGTCCCCTCCCCCACCCGGAAGAGCCCAGCATAGCACCTGAGCCTGCAGTGGGCAGCCTGCCCTCACCCTGTGCACATGACCCCCATGCCTCCCCCAGGGGTGTACACAGAGGCGGGGAATCACCCCTTGCTCCCCACCCCCACATGCCCTGGATGAAATGCCCACGTCCACCCTGGCTGGGCCATGACTGCCCCTGCCCCACTCCCTCCCTCACCGTGGGGGCCTTGATCTGCCCCCCCGGCCCCATGTCCCATTATCCCCCACAGACTTACCGACTGGATGCTGCTCTCCAAACTTTTGGGCTGCATTCCTGGCTGCGCGTGTACATGGCATTTACTGATGACATTTATTACATGGGCCAAAAAAAGCCGATTGCCAATAATGTTAATTTTTCTTTTATCAGTGCTGATCTGATATGGACTGATATATCAGTGCACCTCTACTATATAGCGTTGGCAGTATTTTAGCAATCCTTTGGAAAGCAGTATGGTTATAGGCCATGCCAGCAGGAGTATTCTGGGATGTGAGCAGGAGCATGGTAGAAACATTCTTATGTAAATCCTTGAGTAGCACTGGGGCTATTGGGGAGTGCATTTGGGTTGGGGTATTTTAATGACAAACAGGAGAGGAAGCGTTGTGGTGTTTCCCTCTCGGAGGTACCACTAGGTTGTTCCCTGGGGTTTGAGGGCAGAGCATGTAGTGGGTAGGTTTCATTCAAGCCCCTTGTTCCTTAAGCTCAAGAAGACAATTACTTTCACACATCTCTGTGCTGGCAAGGAAACACACTGCCTTCAGAAACTGCTGCACACACAACCTCTTTGTGGTGGAGGACCATAGTGGGGTCAGTGGGTCAACTTTCACTATGGGAATTAAGGAGTTTGAGCAGGAGAAATGGCTCCCTTCCTAGAGAACACCCAAAAGAGGTTCCCCAGGCATGGGCAAGAATGGTTTAAAGGCAGATTACCCTTTCAGCACTCCCCCCATCTCGGATTGAAGAGGACTTCTTGCCCTTTATCCTGTGGAGGCAAGATTTTTAAAACTGAGTGCCAGATGTTGGGTTCCAAAGTCCAAGATACTTTATTTCAGTAAGTGGTTTGGCTTCCAGTAATGCTGAGCACTTTCCCTTGGCTTCTTCAGCTGAGTGCTTAGCACTTTTGAGGTATCTTCATACAGACTTAAGAACCCCAATTTAGGCATCCAGGTTGGAAAATGTTACCCAGGGAGTAGCAGCACAGTCCTCAGCCATGCAAAATGGAGTTCATTTTGATGGCATTTCTCTAGATTTCCTGTCATAAATTCTTGACACTGCAAACCAGTTGCTTCCAAAATTCTTGGAAGCATTGTGGGGTTCAGTGGCAGAACTGAAAAGGGGAGATGGGGAAAAAGGGGAGAGGGGGAGACTGGTGTCTGGTTAGGAGCCCTGCCAGGCAGGGATAGCCAGGCCTGAATTACCTGTGGATCACTGAACCATTTGATGGGAGCCATGGGGTTTCTGCATGACAGCACCTCCCAGATCTGTCTGTTGTCCTGTGCAGTTTCAAACATTGATGCCATGAAGGGCTGCTGTCCCAAAGAGGAAACAGAAATAATTCACTAGGCTCTACTATTCTATATATGTCCCTGAAGCTGAGGGGATGGAGGGATTCATTGGCATCTCAGTAGGTTGGCAAACCTGACTGCAGGAAGCACTGCAATGTCTGGTCCCTCCAATTCTGTAGCACCATGGTGACTATTTCAGTGCTCCAATAAATTGCTTGTTGGCTTCATTGTTTTTGAATGGAGTAGTATTTGTGGACATGAGTTCTTGCTTTCTATTGGCCATCAGTGTGGTGTGGCAGGAGGAATTGTGCTTAGGCCCTGTCAACCTGACCATCAGGCTGTTTAATGGACAGAACATTGCCAGAGTCTAGCTGGGAGGAGATAAGTCCTGGCCAGTGTTTCCCAGTCAAACCCAGTTCACCTAGAGCACTGGAACCCAGCATTGTCACTCAAATGGTCAGACAGTGAACACTTCTGAGAGTTTCATAGCCTGTGTGATAAGCTGCCTTTTCCAAGGCTAAGCCCCAAGCAGACCTGGGACAGGGCTTAGTAGCTTAGGAGACAGTGAAGTGCTGCATCTTGGCCAGCCCTCTAGGCTTTGATGTTTCAGAACTGTCATTCTTTCAAGCAGCAGCCAGAGAGGTAAAAGGATCACCCTGAAGAGGTGATATTGACTTGTATGCCTCTGAATAGCACCAGGTACCACAGATGGGCCATGGGATGTTCAAATATGTAGTTTAGTTAACAAGAATAATTGATTTGAATTTGCTTATGTATAAACAGGTAAGCTAGACATTTGTTGACAATACCCTTTCTTCTGTAAAAAGAAAAGTGAATGTTCATACTGTCTTCTGCTGATTTGCAGACATGGTTAGGTTCCAGTATGATTTTTGTCATTTTATTTGACCTGCTGTACAGGAACTTGCTACCTCGTGCTTGAAGGAGCTAGACATTAAAAAGAAGCAGGAAGTTGACAACATAAGACACATTGAACAAGCTTCTGTTGATCTTGAGGTAAAGCAAAACTTGTTCATTTAACCAGACAGTTGCTTTCCATTAAAACCCATGTTGTGGCCAAGACAGCTCACTGCTTAAAGGCACAAGCAAGGCTTTTGAGAGAGAGAGAAAACTTGCTGTGAAATTTGTATTTAGATTTTCTACAGTATTACTCCTCAAAGCCAGATAACAACTAGCAGCTACCTAACACAGAGAACCATGGTGCCTGTCCAGCCATTGTGCAGCTGTCAGACTCACAGCAGAACAAGTATAATGCCTGTTCTTCCTAGCACATCCTGTTAGCTAAGATGTGGGAGAGAATAGGTTTCCACTAAAAGAGATGACCTGGCCTTGGTTTCATTATATATGCCAGCCAATGATGGGTGGGATGGGAACATACATACCTGGCTGACCTATATTAAAATAGTCAGGGTTGGAGTGTTGTTGTTGACCTAATGGTTCAGAAAAATGTATGAGAGCAAGAATGTTTTGTGTTGCCCTTTACTGAACTAACTGTATAGTTGGGAGAGCTGTTGGGCAAGCTCTCAGGCTTCCTAACAAGGGGCACTTGATGCCCAAAATCTTGTCCAACAGCTTTCCCAACTATACATTTGGTCCAATAAAAGATAACACAAAAAGTCTTTTCTTCTCTTAAAATAGTTGCTTATGCGTAGGAAACAATATACATGTCCTTAGCTGAGGTAAATGGACATAGTTTGTTGATGTTAATGGAGTTGCATTGACACCCATCACATGAGGGTCTAATCTCCTGAGTCCAAGCTCTTACTGAGAGCTGTCATTGAGCTTGGCCCTGTCCAGCTTGTATAGAGGAAAATGGTTCCTGCTTTGAGGAGTGTGCATGCTTCACTGTCAGTATCTCTACAGCAGGAGTGGGAAAAATATGGCCTGCAGGCCAGATTTGTCTTGCCAAGGGATTTTGTCTGGCCAGTGGCAGGTTCCTTGGTCCCACCTAGCCCAGGCATGGGGGACAGCCCAGGCAGGCTGTAGTGAGTGCGGCCAGATCTGCCACCCCCAGACATACAGCGCAGCTGGGGTGGCGTGGCTGTCAGACTCCATTTCTTGGCAGCCTGGGTAGTGGCGGCGCCTTTTGGCTGCCACAGCTGCCAGCCCCAGCCCTGCTACCCAGTCACCCTGGCATATCCATCTCACACCCACCGCCAGAGGGGGAGCCCACATGGGCAGGATGCTCACCTGGATGGCTGGGGTGAGGCTGTGGGTGGGCAGGGAGTGGCATCTGGGAGCGAGATTGCCAGGCAGGGCTGGAGAGACCCCGGGATATTCAGGTGGTGACAGTGCGGGGCCAGGGTGTGGGGCAGAGCTGTGATCCTCTGTCCACATGCCCCTGCGATGGGTGTGAGTTCTGCAGGCAGGTATGTGCAGGAAGCAGATCACAGCTCTGCCCTGGCCCCAGCCCCACACTGTCACTGCCCTGAAATCCCAGACCTGGCCCTGAATGCAGCTCCCTACCAGCCCATGGGCCCATCCTGGTTGTGCATCCTGCCCCCGTGGCTCCTAGTCAGTCTTCATGGAGACCCTGGGATCGTGGGGTGGTGACAGCACAGGGCTGGGCTGGGGCAAGGAGCCCCAGTTCTGTGGGCAAGGAGTGGATTGCGGCTCTGCTCTGGCCCCATGCTGTCACTGCCCTGCAATCCTGGGGTCTCCGTGGAGACTGGCCAGGACTTGTGCAGGTAGGGTGTGTGGCCAAGAAGATGGGATGGGGCCACAGCTGGGTTGGGAGCTGTGTCTGGGGCCAGGTCTGGGATCTTGGGGTGGTGACAGCACGGGGGCTGGGACCTGGGGCAGAGCTGTGATCTGCTCCCTATGTGCCCCTGCCTGCAGAACCTGTGTCTGTCTCAGGGGCATGCGGGCAGTGGATCATGGATCTGCCCCAGGCCCGCATTGTCACCACCCTGCGACCTGGCCCTGTGATTCTGGCCTCGCCTGCCTGTCCTGCTCCTGAACACTACTCCCCACTCACCCGCGGCCCCATCCCACATAGGGAATTTTGGTGAGCTGTTGCATGGTGGCAGGGGGGGGACACGTGTTGACCCAGCTTGTGACAAGCTCAACAGTTAGAAAACCCTACACAAATATAGTTCTCTGCATTCAGGCAATTTCCTGATCATATTTGGCAAATGCCAGTTGATAATTGAATGCTACACCATCACCGAAACATTTTGGGAAGGTCACTTTAAAAGTGTGGAAAAGTAACATCTGCAGTGTTTGTGCTCTAACTGTGTCTGCAATTCACTTTTGTTTGTAGGCACACACAACGGCTAGTAAAGTGTGGCTGTCAAGGAAATTCACTGAACTCCGGGTACTGCTTGATGAAGAGGAGACCTTGACAAAGAATTACCTAGATGAAAAGACTCAGCAAGCTCTTCAGGCATACAGTCAACAGGCAGAGTCCTGTAAAGAAAGAATTAAAATGCTGGATAACTTCTCTGGTAAACTTAGGCAGATACAGCAGCAAAGTGATCCTGTTCAGTTATTAGAGGTATTGTTGCATTCTCCATCTGCCCTTAGTTCTGACTTCTGTGATAAATCACCTGGGAGATTTGTTATAATCTGTTTCTGTAGATAGTGTGACTAATCTTTTCTTTTGTGTGTGTGTGTATGTGTGTGTGTGTGTGTACACAATATACATATATCCACTTATCTTCAGGACTACACAGAAGTGGAGAAAGAAATGCAGGACCAGAGGATGCCAGCCGAGCAGTGGCACCCGGTGCCTCCATCGTTTGAGCATGTCCTGAACCACTTCAAGAGTTTTGCAGCAGCTCTTCAGTCAGTTGTGAGTAAACCACTGGAAGCTCGTCTTAAAGAAGGTATGTCGCACAGTGCACCGGGGCTTTTTTTATTTATAAGCCTCTGCATTTTGCAGCCTCTTGCTGTCAGTGTGTTTTCTGTTGGCTACTGGTGCTCAGTTGTGCTGTCAGGCAGACACACAGTGTCCTGCACCTGTAAGTTTCAAAAGCACCTTGGGGTTCCTCATTTCCCAAACCATGCACAGTGTGTGTATGCTTATGGCCTATTTTTCCTGAATTGCTCATTAATTTAAACCTCCTTAAGGTGCACAACTAGTTCAGGTTATTCCCTCTGATGTACATTCCTTTGCCCTTGTCAAGAGTTGTGCATGTACATTGGTTACAGGTTTCCTTCTGTGCCTCATTGCAGAGGATATGTGTATTTTTGCAGTTCCTACCTGCAGAGGCCTGGATCTTTACTCAAGCTGTATCAGCTCATATGTTTTAGCTCTGCAGATCCCTGAGTTAATGCCCAGTGTTGGTCATGATGGCAGCTGGCATATAAATGCTAAATTGCATTTGCATGTTGTCTTTAGCCTCATTTAGGAATGCCTTGAATGTAGACATAGTAGCATTATGTCAGTGAAAATTCTCCATGAATCAAGTCCCCAGAGTATCTTTTACATCTTTACTAGTCTGGAGCTCATGTCCATTTTTGTCTTTCTTTTTCCCTGCCACTCTCTTGGAAGTGTCCAGTTACTGAGTTTTAGTCTCCCATTCTCTTACTGTTAACTGTGCTGTTATAGCACCTAGGAGCCTGAGACATGGACCAGGGCCAATTTGTACTGTGCTGTTCAAACAGAGGATAATCCTTGTCCACAAAAGCGTAAAGATTCAGTAATGATATACCTAATTTATAGCCAATTTGCTACAGGCTGCAGGTTTTGAACTGTGGAGGTACTTACCCCTTTTGAAATCAAAGAGGCCCCCATAGCTCCTATGCCAGTGCTCTGCTAGAATGTTATACTCTGCAATGTCCTTTAGATAGCAGTGCAATAACAAATATTCCCACAGTATTCAGTATGTTTGTACATGTAGGTCTTCTTTGTATTTTCTTTTGTTATTTGTGGCTCATGTACATTTTTAAGGAGAGGCATTCTGGATATGGAATATTGCACAAGTCAACATGGCCCAAGGCTGTGCTGTGCAGAGGTATCTGAGTTACCTCCGAACAAGTTAATTTGAATAGTGCAGGCAGTATAAGTTCATATATCCTAGCGTAGCCGGGGTGCAACACAGCGCTAACAAAGCCCTACTACTTCTGATACTTGAGGGTCACATCTACACGAGGCACTTAGCATTAGCATAGTTTACTACGAAGTAAGCAAGTGTGTCTATATGTGCACATGCTTACTTTGCAGTAAACTTCCCTAATAAGTTTGAGTAAATTTGCTCCCTCCAAATGCAAGTAGCAAATTTACTTGGGATTAGTAATGGCACCTTAGCACTCACGTAGATGCCTGACCAGGAAAATAATTTGCTCCCGGTTAGCCATCCACCAGGTGGTGGAAGATATCTCCCTGACTCCATGAGGTGCTGTCTGCCAGGGCAGGCTCTGCCACAGGAGCCTGGGCGGGGACTATGTCCCCCTGCCCTGGCAGTAGGGAACTCCAAACCTCCTACTCCAAGATTGTGATCGGGAAGCAGAGGCTGGGAGATCCTTATCTCCCAGCCCCCACTCCGCCATCACAATTGGGCAGCGGGGAGATGGGAGATTAGGGTCTTCAAGCCCAAGCCCTGTGACTGTGGAGCTTGGGCTGGGAGATAAGTATCTCTCAGCATCGGCCCCGTGGTGGCAGAGCCAGCACTCCCTACTGATGGAGGTTGGGGAGCTTGTTCCCCACCCAGTTCTGTGAGCGCAGGCTCCCCTGCCCCCACCAACAGGGAGCTCCCAGCACCAGCTCTGTGATCACTGGGCTAGTGCTGGGAGACCGTTATCTGGGAGATATCCCAGATATCTGGGATTGCGATCTTGGAGCAGGGAGCTTGGAGCTCCCTGCTGCGAGGGCAGGGGGACATAGTTCCCACCCAGGTTCCTATGGGGAATTTACTGGGGGTTAAGGAAGTTTACTGTGAAGTAAGCATGTTCATGTGTAGACGCACATGCTTACTTCACAGTAAACTATGCTAATGTGAAGTTAAGCATCTTGTGTAGATGCTCCCACTGAGTCGAATACAGAGGGATATAACATGAGCATGTTGGAAACAGTTGGGATTTCTGGAAGTTCATTAACAGTCCAGTGAAGCAACTGATTAATCATCCTGGGGCCGCATCCTGATGAGCTGGGATGTGCGCTTGCAGTGGCATAAATAATAGCAGAACAAATTTGTGTTGCTAGTTGTGCCACACTGCATACCCCTGCATGCATGGTTTGTTGCAGGACACATTATTCCGTTTTGGGCAAAGTACTTGTGCCCAGTTCCTCCTGGCTCTTGGCATGCTGCTCTGATGACTCCATGTGCTGTGGGAGTGGCTGGCTGGGGCACAGGGTGCCTCAGTGGGGCACTAACCAGCAGGCTTGGCAGGGGGCTCCCTGCTCCCCCGTCTTCACATGCCACTTCCTGGCTGGTTGGGGCTCAGTGTGCTTCAGTGTGGGAGCTCCACAGCATGTGGAGACGGGGGAGCGGGGTCTCTCGTCTCTGTGTTTGTCCCAGCGCATGCTGTTTTTGTGTGCTTTGTGCCACCTTTTTTTCGGGATTTATTTTTGCTGTTGGGAAAATTCCAGTAGCAGATTTTGACCCTGCACTGCAAATTAGCATTGTGCACAGTTTAACATACAACATGTACAGTTTGTGGTGCCACAAACTGCATGTGCCTGCATGATCACAGCCTGTGTGGCTGCCTTTGCAGCCAGCAGTATCTTTGCATTAGTCATGATGGATCAGATCCAAACTGTCCTTCTAGATGCCGGAGATACGGGTTTGAACCCCAACAGGCCTAGAACACATATCTTTTGACTTCCTGGGCAAGTATTCTTACTTATAGACTATTGGGTAAAAGGTGGGCACTGGCAGAAGGCCACCTCTGTCTCTCCCCAAAAACTCTGCTATGTGACAATTTGGTTAACATGGTCCCTGTAGAGGGCAGACATCCCATGGGCTCTTTAGGTAACCCTGAGTTGTAACCTGAGCTGGGTACATTCCTGAGGGAGGGGGGTAACCTGCTCCCTCTGCCTACATGACTGGCATCACATACCTGGGTGAGGGGCTTGGGCTCCCTATTGTTCTGAGCAATGCCAGTCTACCCGGCAACCAGTGATGCATTTCAAATTGGTGGGCTGGCAGCCAACAGGTGTTGGCCTCCATTGGACCAGGTAAATGAGGTCACAAGGTCTATATAAGTTCAGGACTGCCCAGGGGGAGGAGCGGTGCCATGATGAAAACTCAGAGAGAGAGAGAAGAGCTGGACCATCTGAAACTTGCTTTCTCTCTTGAAATTAATGATAAAGGAACTGCCTGCCTCCAGAGGGAATCTCCACCTGCCTCTGGATGATACTTGTGAGTAAGCTACCTGAGATCTAACTAGATCTATAGCTTGCAGTAGCTCAGAGGCGTGATCAAAGGCTACCCAGCCATGCCAGTTTGCTCTGTGGGATTTCTCTGATATTGCTCTACCCTGTACCTTATTCCAAACCTACTCCTTGTAACTAATAAAGTTCTCCTTTGTACCAAGCATGGGAGACTTATTGGGAGTGGGTCTAGATTATGCCTTGGGGTCCCATTGCTTCGGCTGACTAAGACCACTGTTTGTGCTTCAGACTGAGGGAAGCACTCCAAGTTCTTGAAGTGGGTCAAGTACCCTCAAGGGCCACTAGGCTTGTGTTTCCCAGGGGGCACACAGCCAAGATCGCCCCAGACCCTGGGTGGTGGCAGTGTTACCCCCAGGCTAGTGGGTTTGCTCCAGGAAGGGGCCAGATGTGAGGTACCCCCAGGGAGGCACTTGGAGCCTGGAAGGTGGTCAGGCACAGTGAGGTGGGTGGCTTAGCGCAGGAGCACCCCCTACTTGCCCGCCATAGGCACTATCACCATTGGCTGTGTTTTGTATTGAGTTGTGTGCATTCTCACAGCACCAACCATTAGGTGTGCTCTGTCCCTACCTAAGAAGTTTGGACTTAGATGTATTGTAGGTGCCTCACAGCACCAATTTGGATTGTAATAGAGCTTAGGTGGGAGTTAGGCACCCAGGTGGCTGCCCTGGGTCATTTCTGAGTTTGCACAGGAACCTCCAGCATCTTTTCAGGCCAGAATGGAAGCATCTAATGAAGTAGTTTTGTAGTGGCTGTGAGGGGCTGATTTGGATCGCCCTTTGTGACTTGGGCCCCTAAATTCCACCTAAATCCTGTTCAATCAAGGTCAGTTTGAAACTGGCCCCAACTTTCCAGGAGCATTTTGTTTTGCAGTCCACCATGTCTGTAGGGTTCACTCTTTGAAGCATTTTTTCTTGGCATATAGAAACCAGAGAGTGGACTGGGCTATATGCCAGGTGCCCTATGATTGGCTATATTCGTTATTCCACCTGTCCGTGTTGTCAAATGAACTGAGGGGACAAAATAGACTTTAGTATAAAGTGAATTCCCCTTTCACTAATAAAGATATCAAGATGGCCAGTCACCTCACAGGAAGAAAATGTGGAGCATTCCTTTGCTCAGGTTGCTGTCAAATTTACAGCAAAGTGGGAAAAATGGCTTTTTGATAATACTCCCATTTATCAGAAGCAAATATAGACTTCCTCTGGTGACATTGTCTAAACAGTTCCTCTTAATTTGTTCCGTAGACATTTTCAGTAGCCTCAACGCCACCTCAAAGAGGGAGCCTGGTACAATGCTGAAAACTATATCTTCAGGTGATCGTTCACTATTCCTAAAACGTAAGTAATGTTGAAAAAATGTTGAATACATTTTTACTGTGTTCCTTGTGCTAATAAACAAGGTCAAGATTGTAATTAACCAATGTGTCTCTCAATTTTTGCGTGCTCAGCTTGAGGCATCTTAAAAACAGGTTCATCTTAAGAGGGAAGGTGCTTGGTGCTGCTTTTTTATTCCTTGAGTTCAGAAACCAAAATCCTTGTCCCTTTTGAAATGTTAAACTCAGTGCTTATTTTTCTACCTTGGGAGCATATGAAGAGGCTCTTCTGTCTAGACTGAGGTAGCTTTTAGGACATTCATACTCTTCCATTTACAATATTTATAACACCTGCTCTATCTGAGGTTGCTCTTTTGGAGGCTCTCTATCCCAGAATGGGTGGGAAGGGCACACAGTAAATTTGTTTTGCTTAACTTATCAACCTGTTGCTGTAGGAAAGGTTGGTGTTTTGCATTTGTTCCTGGAAATGGTGATGTTGGTGGCCATTCAGATCTGAATTAGCTAAGAGCTGTTAACAAATCCATTGTCCTTGATGGTTAGGGACCTACCAAATACATGATTTTACAGAAATTGTGTAACTGGCAGTCTCTTGTGAAATAGCCAGTTCCCCATGAAAAAGCGTGGGGAACTGGCTATGTTAAAAAAAGCCAGCAAAGAGCTGGCAAAAAGCTGTCTCCTAGAAGGGAGCGGGGAGGGGAAGGGAGCAAAGAGGGGGGAAAAAAAGGCAAACTGCCCATCTCCTAAAATGGGGGGGGGGAGAGAGGTGGGAAAAGTTCCTGTCTCTCTCTCTCCAGAAGAGGAGGGGGCAGGGAAGGAGCAAGGAAAAGCCCCTACCCTCTGGAGTATGGAGTGGGGAGGGGGCGTGTGTGTGTGTTAGGGATGCACCAATAAAGATTTTTATAGCTGACACTGATGGCTGCACCAGCCATATCCGCCAGTGCTGATCCGATAACCCATATACAACCTGGCAGCTTGGAGAGCAGCATCTGGTCAGTAAGTCTGTGGGGGGTAAGGGGCAGGAGAAGGGAAGGCTGATCAAGGCCCCCACGATGAGGGAGGGAGTAGGTCTGAGGCGGGGGCAGGTGCTGATTTGTGCATGGGGCAAGGATGGGCTGCCAGCTGCTGTCCTAGGGTCTGTGCTGGCCTCTTCCCAGTTGGGGGGCAGGGCTGCTCAGGGCAGGCGAGGGTGGGGCTGGGGCAAGTGGCAGCAGTGCCAGGAGGGAGGGTATGAGGGGCTATGGTGAATTCTGGGGTGGCTGTAGCCCCAGAATTTCTGGGGTGGCTGTAGACCTGTAAGCCACCCCTCCTAGCACCACCACTGCCTGCCTTGCCCTCTCCCCCAACCTGCCCCAAGTGCCGCCGCGTTCCCCTCCCCCGCCACCTCCAAGTTGCCGGGATTCATTCTTTGCTGCGTGCATGCTGCAGCTATGCACAGGCACACGGCATTTGTCGGTGACATTATTGGCTACACTGGCCAAAAAAACCTGATTGCTGATAATGTCAATTTTCCTTTTATCAGTGCTGATCCGATATGGACCGATTATATCAGTACACGTCTAGTGTGTGTGTTTACGTGTGTGTGGAGGAGGGTGCTGCCTGGTTGCTAGGTCCTGGAAGCCTGCTATGGGTGAGGGGAGGAGGGGAAAGTGGGGGGCACATGCAGCAGAACTCTCTGGGAATTGTGGTCTGTGCTGCTCCTGTGGCACTCTGCGTGGGGCCTAGCCCCGCTCTCTCATACTGGAGCAGCCTGTGCCATGCTCATGATGGTGCCCACGGCCCAGCTGGCTTATGCTGTGTGCCCCTTGCCGGGACACGACAAGTGCTCCCCTGATTCACGAGGCACCAGTTGCCCATGTGTGTAGACCTGGCCCCTGGGAACAAATCATAATCCAGTTTTTAAAAAAATCCATCAGTTTGAGTAATGCCACACTTGAAGCGTTTAACTGTTTGGCGAAGTGAAAGAAAATAGCAGTTTTGTCCCTTTGGACAGTGGAAGCAAACTAGTTTTCTAGCAGTTTCACATTTGTAGTCTCATGTGCTGGCACTTGGCTGCAACTTTGTCCTTTTCCTTCAGGAGAATATTTGATTTATTGAAACCTGTTGTTTGGAATTTTCTGTTTTATTCCATGAAAATATTCCTACTTGCATTAGTTTCTCTGTTAACTTGTGTTTACAAAACTTTTGATTTTTGAAGCTTTCATTGGAAGCTTTCAAAAAGAGACTGGATAAGCATTGGTCAGGCATGAGGCATAAGCATCGCCTCACATATGCTGTGAAGGGCAACAGTTGGAAACCTGATACGGGCATCATTTGGCAAAGATGAGAGCTCTGTAGCCCAGAGCAAATGGAAATTGGAGAATGAAGCAGGGCTCCACAACCAGCTTGGTTATGAAACAGGATTGAAGAGCTGGGACAAGTTTATCGAGGGGATAGGATGACAGGAAGGGGAGTTCTGGCTCTCCAGTTAGGGCCAGGATGGGCAAAATACAGCTTATGGGCCAGATGCGGTCTGCCAAGGGATTCTGTCCGGCCTGTGGTGGGTCCCTTGCTGTACGTCTCTGCCCACAGAAATGGTGCCTGTCACAGGAACATACAAGGAGCAGATTTCAGCTCTGCCTCGGGCCCTTGCCCCGTGCTATCACCACCCCATGATCCCAGCCCCGCATACCTTTCCTCTTCCTGGACATCATGCCCCGCCCACCTGCAGCCCCATCCTATCTGCCTAGCTGAGCATGCCCTGCCGTCAGGGGTCCCGTGCCACTCTCCATGGAGACTCTATCTGCCTGCTCCATCCAGCACCCCTGGTGGTGGGTGCAGGGTGGACGGACAAGGGCCAAATAGGATCAGTTGCCACCTCTCTGCTTCACCGGACTGCATCAGCACCATCTCTGCCCTATCGTCCAGCTGGCAACAGCTCGCTGAAACTCCTTAAGTGGCTCCCCAGCCCAGCTATTTGTCACCTCTGAGTTAGGGTGTGTAATCTGTTTTCCAGGTTGCAAAGTGGAGGGCAGAGGTAGGGTATGTGTTTATTCCCATGCATCTGGGCTTTGCTAGTTGCCAAACAAGACCAGAAAGGAACTTTTTCCTTTCTAGCTGCTACAGGTGTTAGGGCATGAGTGACGCGTGCCTCCTCAGGCTGGGGGGACATGGCGACCACTCGCAGGCAGCGGTGTTGGCGGCAGGGGCTTGGCGGTGGCAAGCAGGGACTGCCCACAGGCAGCCGTGGTGACGTTGTCAGTGAGGGCGGGCTGAGCAGGGACTGCCCTCAGGTGGCTGTGGCAGTGTTGGCGGCAAGGGAGGGGGTGGCAGGCAGCGAGCAGGGACTGCCTGCAGCCTCCAGCGGCCATGTCGGCAAGTGGGGGAGGGCAGTGACTGCCTGTGAGTTTGGCAGTGGCCAATCTCAGGGGGGGCACGTACCCCCGCTACACGTCACCTATGTTTTAGGGCATTTTTTTGCCTTCCTCAGAAGCATTGGGTATTGAAGGGGGCACGTAAATGCTTCTGCTGAGACTAAATAAGCTAGAGATTCTTGGCTTGAGGATCTTGCTCATCTACTCAGGGTCAAAATAATCGCCACCTTTGGGATCAGGAAGAAATTTTACCCTACTGTCAGATCCATGTGGACTGCAGGAGTTTTCTACTTCCTCTGTAACAGGGAGTATGGTCCCCTTCTTTGAATCTCTCAAGTGTATTTTAACTAACTACATCCTGTCCTTGCAGTGTCGGGACATTGACAATGCCCTCTTCTTCCTACTTTACCTGTGTGGATGTTCATGTTGTTTTTGGGTATTGTACCTGGTAGTTGTATGAGTGTGCAGTTTCACTTGGAGTAGTCTAGACTAGGAGTTGGGAGTCTATGACCCACAGGCCAGATTCAGCCCATAGAGCCATTGGATCTGGCCCAAAACTGGGGTGCTTTGGCAGTGCTTGGTTACAGGGGGCTTTGCCCTTGCAGTGACTGTACAGCACAGCTGGGTGCTTCGCTGCTGCTGCAGCCTGGGACCTTTGCTAGTGCTAGTGCTGTGGCTGTGCAGTGAGAAGTGGCAGCAGCAGCCAGATTGTGAATCTCTGACAGGCATTCCATTAAAGGCATGATGGGATCTGATCTGTGATCCCAACAATCGCATCTCCTGCCGTGCCACATGTCCACGGCAGGAGGCATGATTGTGGGATCAGCAATCAAATCCCAATCATGCCCCATTGGCAGTGCAGGGGGAGCCAGGAATCATGATCCTGGGCTTCCCCTGCACTGGCAAGTAGCAAGCCGGGTGCTCAGTGTGCCCACTGCTGGAAGCACTGGTCAGCTTCCAGGGAGCGCCAGCTGGGAGCACACCAGAGCCCTTCAATGTTGGCTCACACCACTAGCTAAATATTTTGTGCAGTTACTTTGTGGCTTATTCCTTGTTTTATTGTGCCATTAATGGCATCAGTGTGTGGCCGGGATTCTATTTCAGATGTGATTAACTGATTAACCAGGTCTTAAATGTAACTTCTCCTAGGGGCCCTAATGTTGGCCAGCTGGCTGAAGATGTTGTCGACTGATGGGCTAGAGATGTTCACTTGTATAGGATGTTTAGATTGGGTTGATCTTGCTTTAAACAGGGGGTTGGACTCGGTGGACTACTGAGGGCCCTTCTAGCCTTACTTTTCTATGCTTCTATGCTTCTGTGTTCCATATTCTAAAAAAGCTTGGTGGCCCTTCCACTTATATTGTTGAATATTACTCACACCAGCAGGAAGCAGGGCTTTTTTGGGTGACTTCTTTTTAATGGATTAAATATATAGTTGGAAGAGAAGGACACTTTGTTCCTGAAAGCTTGTCTGACATCTCTCCCAACTATACAGTTGGTCCACTAAAAGATATCACCCAAAATCCTTTGTTTCTTGCACATTTCCTAGCCCAGCATGGCTACAACAACACTCCCACCCTGTCACACCAGTCAGGGAGAATTCTGGAGAGGTTGCAGTGTTACTAGCACAAAAGGAAGTAACTGCAAAGTATGTTATATTACCTGCAGAGATAATTTTTTTGTCTCCCTGATTCTGGACCTTTGTCATAAAGTTCATCCAATACTGGCGCTTTAGTAGATTGAAAAGTAACCTGGCAGCGGCAGGCTACTTGATAACACTTAAATGAGCTAACAGTCTTTTTTTTCACAAATGTTTTACCCCTAGGTGGCAGCAGAGACTGCAAAGAGAATTTTTTACACATCTGTATTTTATGTTTATTTAGGAATTAAACTAGTTTACAGACATGGTTTTGTAAATATCAGAAATAAATAGGTAAATCATTACAGTAGCAAGATTATATTTTATATAGCGAAACAGAGTAGCTTCCACAGCAGGCAAATACTCTCTCTGTCTTTGGATGGAGAACAGGGGCGCAGGTTTGCTAATGCAGTGTATCATAGGTTTGCACTGGCACAGGTTTTTGCAGTGGGTTCCCCTGTACTGATGCCAATAGTTTACCCAGTGCAAACCCCTTTCCGGTTCGGCTCCACGAAGTGTTCCATAACCATTTTCTTTAATGGAGAGGAGTTTGTCCCATCCACGCTAGCAAGTTTACTTTCTCTGCACTGCTCCAGAAAGATCTTGAATTGACAACCATACTCAATAAGATGAGTAAGTAACGAAAGGGCCTCTTGTACGGAGAAGCTAAAAATCTGCCTTGGGAAAGCCTCTGACAGAAAGCATAACTGACACCTGAATTAGCTAGTGATATCAGTCAGCCACATCTGCAGTTGTGCATTTTTTATATATGTACTTCGTTCTGTTGCTGTTTTTTCCGTTTTCTGTTGGCCATATTAAATAAATACTGAATCTGTTGTTGTTTCTGCTGGTTGTGAAAGTACAATAACAGAACATACCTAAAGCAACTCTGCTAGTACACTGTACTTGGGACAGTGCTTCAGTGCCTGAGGGCACATTTATTTTAAATGTAGCTGCAAACAAGAGTCCCTGGCTCTGGTGTGATTCCAGGCATCAATCACTTCTGGCTATTTGCTAAGTAAACAAAGCTGAGGCACGGGTCTGGTGGAGCAGCTTGTCAGTGGAACTTATTCTCATGTATAGCACAAAGCACTTATTTCCAAAGCCTTGTGCTGAAGCACTTCAGACAATTATAATCTGAAATAAGTGAGTGAGAAAAGGGCTGTCTAGGAAGCAGAGAAGGAGCCCTGATTAGCTAAGCCATGAGCTCTTCCACAACTTGAAATTTTCATGCTTAAGTGTGGAAGGGCACCTATAAATGTGCCTGGTGCCTTCTCCGACTTGCCAATTAGCATGTGTCAGAGCAGACTAGATTAATCAAGTCTGCTGGAGTATGCCATGCTCCAGCAGCCTTAGTGGCACGTGTATTCAGCTTCTCCGTGCAGGGCCACTTAAACTAAAACTGGTCAAACAAGCTTTAGTTAAAGTACCCCTGCCGTCATTTTGAAGCACAGGATGCTGAATACACAAGATGTGTGAGCACTTGAATTAGAGGGGCTCCTGAGAACTGCTCGAATTAACGCACCCCCTTCTCCCCTGCCCCAAAACACATAAAGATGCCTGAAGGTTGGCCATGTTACAGAGGATGGATGGACATGCAGGGACATACTCAGAAAAGCCATATAAAATCCTCCAATTATGGTTGATAATGTTTCATGCTTCTGTACGCTCTAGTTTAACCACAATGCAGTTTTACTTTGTTTCTTTACAGTGTTTTAACCCAGTGCTAAGGGAAATAGGACATCTGTTTCTAGTAGATGCTTATATGGGCCCTTTCTTGACTGGCTTCTTAAATTGTGTGCAACCAAAAATATGTTTTTCTTGATTGCATTTTCCCAAGCAACATTGCAGTTCTTTGTTGCTACCACTTTCAGCTACTGGATCACCTAACAGGTTTAATGGGAATCGGGCTTGTTGCTAGACAGTTGAGCGTAACACGTATGTATGGTTTTGTTTGCAGATGCAAGATCTCCAACCCTGGAATATGACAGTCTACACCCCAGGCTGAGGCTGTCTGATGATCGTCTTGCAGTATCCAGTACCTGGAGGTGGAACTTTTACCCTTGCAGACCGTGGAGATTTAATAAGTTATGGCAAGTTATGAGTAAAGATTCATTCTTCTCTGGGAGCCATTATTGGGAAGTGGACTTGCTTCAGGCTGGACAAGGATGGTGGATTGGAGCAGCCTACCCTTCCATTGGAAGAAAAGGTGACTCTGAAGCTTGTCGGCTAGGGTGGAATAGAGCATCATGGTGTATAAAACGGTTTGATTTTGAATACTGGGCATTTCACAATGCTGAGAGAACCCCAATCGCAACAGAAGAAGATCCCGAACGAGTTGGTATATTTCTAGATTACGAAGCTGGAATCCTCTCGTTCTATAATGTAACTGATGGCATGGCCCACCTGCACACCTTCCGCTGCAAGTTCACAGAGCCTGTTTACCCAGCCCTGAGACTCTGGGAAGGGACAATAACAATATGCAAGTTAACTTAGAAAATAGTGAAACAGCAGAATGAAATGGAATATGCTTTGCAGTTTTTTGCATGTAAAACCACTGCAGTCATAATGTAGGTTTAAAAAAAAAACCCTATTAGGAATACCCATAGGTACATTTTTGTCTTAGTGTTGAGCACTCCCTAGGATGTGATTCTTTAGTATCCAGGCTGCATAAATAAAGTCAACTAAGGTTTTTGTCAAATCAGTCACTACTTAAGGGACTATTTTAGAAGGGTGATTTTAATAATTGTATTTTCATTAACAGTAAATACTTTCTAATAGTGAATGGCACTTGAGGTCCTGAGATTTTAGGGTTTCATCTTCTGGACATCAGAAGACTAAAGAAATATATTGCATTATATTTTTATATTGGATTGTAATTGACAAAATGGGAAAATCCTTTGTGGACTAATTATTAGTTGATCACAGTTTAGAGAACTTTTGAATGGGGGGCTAACAGCTCCCCTTTTGCTGGCAGGGAAACTAGCACTTTACCTAGGTATTAGATTGAGCTGATGATATAAAACAAATAGTGAAGTTTCTTATATCATTTGACAAGTTTGAATTTGGAAGACAGATACAGTAAATAAAATAGCTCTCATACAAAAGCTTCATCCCAAGGAAAATCCAAGGATAGCTTCCAGTATTGCTTAGAGCTTCTATTACATTTGTCTGGGATGGGATCTTCTTCCCTCATGCTACGTGGATCGAGTCATTATGTAGTCCAGGGGTGGCCAGCCTGCAGCACACGTACCACAAGTGGCACCAACAAACTGCATGTGTGACATGTCTGATTGAGGAGGAGAGAGGCAACACAATGGTAAACAGGGCAGGGAGCAGAAAGCAGAGCAGCAGGTTGGGTGAGGAAAGGGAGTCAGAGTGGCACTCAGGGAGTGTGCAGGGCTAATTTATGGCATGCCTACCAAAAAGGCTGGCTCCCATTGATAGTCATTGGCTAGTTTTACTTGGGATACAGCAGTCAGAATCTGAACTGAGCTAAGTTATATGGCAACCAGACATATGCAGAAGGCTGCTCTGCAGTTCTGTACTGTCTTTTTTCTGCAAATGTTCCCCTTTCAGGTAGCTAACCTCCACCCACAACAGAAGGCAGAAGCATGGGAGAGGAAACTTTGTGGTGCTGTATAGCCCACAACACCCATTTGGAAAAAGGATCGTCTCCTCCACGTCACAGTGTAGCTGTATTATAATTTGCTTTGCAGAGTCTATTGGGGAAGGGGGATTTTACATTAAGCAATTCCTTCCTAGTTTTAAAAGGCTCTCAAGAATTACTGCTTAGTAATGACAACAAACATCTCATGAGTTGTATCCAGAGACAACTGGGAGAAGCTATCTGTCAGGGCTGCTGTTCACATGTACTACCTCCTACATTCTAGAACTTGTGCATGCATATGGGTGGTAGTTTCTTCCTTCAAATTTATATTAAAATCAAATGGATTTCTCAGGCTGTGTTCAAAGGAGGCCTTTAGCTAATATAGATCAATCTACTATGGTTCAACAAGTGTTTTCTAACCTGCTCAGACCAGGCCTAAAAAACAGTGGTTTCACAAACAAGTTTGCACTCGAGTTCTCACCAATCCACTGCTCTCTGTAGGACACCAAGAATGTGCTAATGCTGACAAGTGCTGAAGCCCCTTATTTTAACAGAAAGATGGAATCTTTTGTTTGTCAAATATGATTTATTTTGTAAAATTTTCAATAAAAACATCTTTCAACAATCATTTTAGTATTATTTTAATTTAAGGCAAGCCACCTATTGCATCAAAGCTTGCAGAATGGAACAATCATATTATTCATGGACAGAAAAGAGATTAAATTAAACAATTCTTTGCTTCCACCATCTGCCTGACATAGCAAAAATTTAAAACACGTTTTTCAAGAGAAACAGTAAAATAGCCCACAATCCTATTCCTACCACCATGATCCAAACTAGCTCACTAAGTCATACACAAGATGTAGGAAGTGCCAACAACTGTGCCTGGTAAGAGACTTCTGCTGTAGCTTTATTAAAAGGTATGCAAGGTAACTGAGGGATGCAAGGCCTGTAGCCCAAAGTTGCTGTTCCTTAGTCTCTCTTATCCCACTTCCTTTATATGGGAGGGAAACAACAGCAACTTGCCAGCAACAAATACATTCATCATGAGCATGAACTGTAACAGGAGGATGCAATTTTCAGAACCAAGAAAAAAAAAAACAACTCAAGGCACAGAAAGATGGTAGGGAGCCACAGGGAAGCAAATAAATTGTCAGACTGGAACATAACGTTTGTACCCGAGGGCCTGCATCAGCAGTGTAACTAGTGGGGGTGAGCAGGGCATTGGCCTCAGGCACTACTATGGCACCAGCAATTGTCATCGGTGTGCAGAAAGCTCGGGCAGATAAAACCCTTCTCCCCTATCCCTACACTTGGTTCAGGTCACTGCAGGAGCTCTCTATGCCTCTGATCTGCATAGGCAAGGCTGACAATATACTGCTGTGTGTCCAACGCATGTCTGAATTACAAAGTTCTTGGCTCCTCTTGTGGGCTGGTGAATTCTATCTGGTAACTGATTTGAGTAGAAAAAGCTACCTTGTTTCCTTCATTTGGTTTTGAATACATTACCTTTTAAAATTTGATTAGATGCCTCCCAGTCACACTTCAATTCAGAGAAAGGGTGGCCTGGCGCTCCTGCCAAACAATACTGTTTCACTAATCTTTTAACATGTTTTGGAATAAAAAACTAAACAAAACAGTTTCTCCTCCTCATACCTCTCTCATTTCTTTCTCCTTTTGAACGTGAAAGTAACCAAATCTTTCATGAGGCATGTGAAGATACAATCAGTTTTCTCAAATAGTATTACACCTACAACCCTTAAACTGGATAGGCAAGTTTAGAACGCATCGCCACTTGGCGCTAAGCTCCATTAAAATAGCACCTCTCTCTGCTCCCAAGTGCTGCTGACCCCTTCATTACACTATTGAAAGTAGCAGTCCCTTCCTCCACACATCCTGGTTCGTGATATGTGTACTTCTGTACCCCGAGTTTCTTCCAAAGGCCCTTAGCTAGAAACATTTGGGCCAAAAATGGCTAACTTGGAAGGCAATATATACAGACAACTTCCACTCTTCTTTCCCCTATTTATTACTTTCTACTCGTCCATGCACGAGTCTATCTGGCCTCCACTTTGTAAGGATGAAGGAGATGACAAGCATAAAAGTGAAAAAAGACAAGACATCAGAACATACAGTATAGCCAAATTCCTACAGTTTTTAATGCTCAACACTCCAAGGACAAGCAGAAAGGAGCAGACCTTAGTTTCATGCCTGGAGAACCTTCAAACTGACTGTTGGCTAAAAAGACTAAGAAATGAGAAGCAACTGTTAAGGGAGAGGTACCCACTGATACTTCTAAATCCACCGTCATCTATACTAGTCAAAGCCATCCATGTGATTCTCTGTAAGACAATGTTGTACACGTCAGTAATGTATTTCATTTTCTTCCAGCCATATTAGCTGGAATTTCATTCATCATACTACCTCACACAATCAGTGCAGCCTAAACTGAGGGATAAAAAAAAATTGTTACAAGACCCATACCTCTTGATGTACCAAGCAGGGTGGGCTTACTAGAACTGATACACACGTATCAAAACCTTAGAGTTAGATAACCCCAGAAAGAACCTGTGTGCACTGTTGCTTCAACCAAATCCACAAAGCTCATCTTTCAACACAAATACTCAGAGTTAAGACCTTTTGCACTTGTGCAGTATACAGGACACTTCTAGAAGTACAGTATCTTTGGTGAAGTGAAAGATCACATTCCTTTTGACCATGGTGCTACAAACAACTACTGAATTAATTTAACCATTAACAATAATTTTAAGTTTGTTGCAAATGCCTTTTTGCTGACGTGTAATAAAAAAATCTGTTTTATTTGGATTCTCATATGCATAGCCCATCGTTCTAATCTACCAAGCTATTACTCCTAAGAGTAGGGTTGCAGTATTGTAATGCACAGTGCGTTAAGAATAATATAGAAACAAACGCTTCCATTCAGCATTTCACTTTTTTGACATGATTTTCTATTGCATCCTCAGTGATTGTTTCATCCTCTTCAATGTGCACTTTAACCTTCTTTCCTACTAGATCAAAGATGTCTTCTGGGAGGCATCCTTTAGGTTCTCCCACCTTCACGGTAAGCATGTCGAGAGTCAGCACAGTGCCTTCAGGGATTGTCACTTTAGCCACAACAGACTTTCCCAGCTATTAAAACAAAAACAAACCCACCACAAAACAGAAGAGTTGTTTATTGAGGAAAGTGCAATCTAGCTTGGAAATAATCACAGACATGCAAAGAAAATGAAAACTCAAGTTATCCTGTTTTTAATACCAGGCACTTGCTGGCTTCCCTCTCTTTCAAATACATTAACATGAAGATTTCCATGCCAAGATAGCTCTCATTTAACTGTACAGTAAAGTCCTGCTCTGTATGGAGGCTGCAGGGACACCTAGAAAAGCCTTTTGGACTCTGAAGCAGGGGTCAGCAACATTTCTGGACAGAGTACCAAAAACACACACAACCTCAACTTGTAAGATGCTGGTGTGCCTTGTGACAGCGCAGCCTGGGCCCCTTTCCTGCTGTCTGGTCTGAGACATGCATGCACCCACTGCAGTCAGTGAGCTGGGCTGGGGCTCTGCGGACCCTAGTGCAGCCACTTGCAGCATCCTGGCTGCTTGACACAGCTGGCTCAGGCTCTGGACAGGACCTTGATGCCTGCCACAGAGCCCAGGCTGTTCACAGCAGGCAGTGGGGAAGCTGCAAGCAGCTACACCAGGGTCCACAAAGCCCCAGCTCGGCTTGTTGCCAGCTGTGGGTGCACGCATGCCTCAAGGTGGATAGTAGAGAAGGGGCCGGAGTTGCACTGCCACAGCAAGGACTGGGCCCCTCATGGCTGCCCACCATCTGCCTGAGGTGCGTGTATGCCATGCAAAATGCCTTTGCGTGCCACGCTCTGGTACGCATGCCGGGGGTTGCCTACCCCTGCTCCGAAGTGTTACTGACTGGAATTCCTCAAGCCGGTGAAAAGAACCTTCCATCTTTCCCAAGACCAGTCAGCTTAGTATACAAGGGATCGTCAAGTGACCATGGACTCTGGTGGCTCATAATTAGCTCCACCAAAGGGTCCTGTACCCAACTCAGTTGCATCATATTTCATTATCAGCAGTGTAACCCAAACAGTAAAAATACACATTTACTGTCATAAATGAAGAGTAAACTATATACAGTATTAGTTCTATGATAAGAGACTACAGCCCCACATCTGAATGCTGTTGCTGCTAACAGTAATCAGCAAAGGAGTTTCAGGCAAGGAAACAAGGAACTATTGATAGATAAGGTGCTACAGTCACAAGCTATTATTAGCAAGCTGTTTCTCGAAACCCTAGTCTACAACATCTTCAGCCACACATAGATTGACAAGTAAAATTACCTTTTCATTACAAGCCATTTCACAAGGCAGGAGCTGTTTGATTGGAGATCCCAATGCCTTCTCTACCGTACGGACTGCTCTCACCAGTTCTGCCAATTCACTTGGCTCTAGGGATGCCTGGTGATCACTTCCTTTCCAGGTTTTGTCCAAAGTCACATGGCGCTCCAGTACTTTAGCACCCAGAGCAACTGCTGCCACTGAAATGGCTATCCCAGTCTCATGTCCTGAATAGCCAATGGGTATATCAGGAAAAGCTGACTGATATTCCTTTAATAACAAAAGGGATCTGATTACAAAAGGTATCAATTTCAGAGGCACAGACAGCAAACATAACTATGACATCTGTAACTGAAGACAGAAGTGGATGGTTAAATTTAATTGGCAAAACATCTTGAACAAACTGCAGTGCATTACTTCTTATTTTGTTTAAGGGCTTCATTTGAATTGCTAGCAGAAGTAAGGAAGAGCAAGTCCATTCTACTTTAAAATCTCTACTGTTTCTTTCCTTGTACGTTCACTAATATACTTCAGCACCTAGAAACAAAAGGTAACATAGACTACACTGACCGGTACTCTGTGCCCACTCAGGAATCCAGCCTGTAGGGTGCACCTGTGGTAATACACACAGCAAACCAACTTCATTGATGCCAAATTCAGCTAATCCTGGCTCACATTTACTTTGACATTGACAGAACCTAGAGCAGAGGCAGGCAATTATTTTGGGTGGGGGGCCACTTAATGAGCTTTGGTGAGCTGTTGAGGGCCACATGAGTAGTCCAGCCCCTTGAAATGCCCTGCCCTCTTATTGCCATCTTGGGACCAGAAGTCTCACCCTCTAACCCCTGACCCTTGCTACCAGAAGTCCTTCCCCTTGCCCCCCAGAAATGCTCCTTTTGGGAGGGGGCAGGGGGGTTGCCATCTTAGAACCGGAAAAAAGATCAAATCATACACTAGAAGTCAAACACCTACTATAACATATTTTAATTTTATTACAAAAATATTTTTGTCATTATTTGTGTTTGTGCAGTATACATAGAAGTGATTGCATAGTAACTCGAAAATAATTTTTTAGTTTTGTATATTATGGGGGGAGGGTGTGTGCGGTATGTGTATGGTGGGTGTGTATGGTGAGGTGTGTGTGTGTGTGTGTGTGTGTGTGTGTGGAGGGGCACAGGGTATGTTGGTAGATTGTGTATATGTGGGGGGGCCGTGCGGGCAGGGTGTGGGTGTGAGGAAGGTTGGGTGGTGTGGGGACCCCGCATTCCCCGCATGGTGCAGCAGCAGGGTGTGCCCGACACAGCACGGCTCCGGCCAGCACTAAACATGGCAGTGAGGGGCACTGCCTCTGTGTGGGTGCCTGTAGGAACAGCGCTCTCTGCCACTCAGTGCAGCCTCTGCACTCACACAGTAGGGAAGGAAGCCCCATGTGTTGGAGCTGGCTGCTTTCCCTGCGGGAGCTGCACAGCACCGGAGAGGAGCTTCAGGTGCTGGAGCCAGCTGCTTTCCCCACAGGAGCTGCACTGCAGGGGAAGGAAGCCCCAGGCACCTTTGCCTGCGGGACAGGGAAGGCAGCTAGCTCCAAAGTGTGAAGCTTCTCTCCGGTGCTGCACAGCCCTGGCAGGGAAGGCACCTGGCTCCGCATGTGGGGCTTCCCTCCCTGCTGTGCGAGTGGAGGAGCTGTGCGAGTGGCAGGGAGTGCCGGCAATACAGGCAGCCGTGTGGGGGCTGCACCCCTCGCTGCAGTGTGAAGCACTGGCCGGACCTGTGCACTTGTTGGGCGCCTGCGTCCTAACCACCCTGCCTGCTGCTGCTGCTACCACCTGCCAGAGCTGCACACCACAGGGAGAGTGCGCGCGCGCCGGGGGGGGGGGGGGGGAGGAGGAGGAGGAGAGAGAGTCCCCACATCCCCCACATGCTGTCCACCCCAGCTCTGCACTGCTGCCTCCCCCCATTTCCCTGAACGCGGACTCCGTGCTCCCTCCCAGCTGCAGCCCTGCTCCCGCTGCTTCCCCATCTGCTGCCCAGAGCCAGCAGGAGACAGGGGAAGCAAGCAAGCAGGTCCTGGGGGCTGCGGGAGCAGCAGCCCTCCAAGGAAGCTGCATGCTGCCTAGCCAGTCCCTTCCACCCACAAGGGTAGGAGTGAATCAAAAGGATATATTTGGGGGGCTACGTGTACACTGGGGTGCAAGGGCTGGACAGGGCACAATTTGTTGGGGGTCCTGCGAACTGAATGAAAGTGCTTGGCGGGCCACATCTGGCCCGCAGACATATTTTGCCCACCCCTGAACTAGAGGGACATGACATGTTCTGCTGTCTGTGAAGCAAATGCCAACATGACCAAAATTTCGAAATACAAGCACATTAGCCTTGGACTGACTTTCCCTATATACCACACATGGTTTATTCACTGACCGATATAACCCGGAGATTGACATCTTCAGGCTGAAGAGGGTAAGCACTGGTGCACTGGAGAATACAGAAGTTTGGATTGATGGGTTTCACAGTCTGATAAACCTGGCGCATTGTTTTCATTGACTGCATCCCACTAGAAATTACCATTGGGCGACCTGGCCATTAAAACAAATAAACAAACAATAAAGGTGTGTCCTTTTAGCTTATGACTTCATAACTCAGGGTAGAGTTTATCTATGTAAAAAAACTGCAGTAGTTTATCTTGCACTTGAAATGTAAGCCGGTTCAATAAAACTGAAGTGAAAAACTGTATGAATACTCTCATTTCAGTTTAAGAGAGGTTTGTTCTAATGCAGCTTAAACTTGTTCCAAACTAAAGGGGAATGAACATGATCAGGAGTTACTCTACTGGGACTCAGGAATGATTAATAAAACAGTTCAAAACATTCACCTTTTTTTGCTGTCTTTTCTAAATACAGGAAATTATTAGTATCACCCGATCCTACTTTAAAAAATGGAACATCCAGTTCATGTAGAAACTCCACAGCCATCTGCAAAAGAGAACACATGTTGTTTAAACTCTGAAATTAAATGCCTCCTTCCTCTCAAGAACTAACAGAACCATCCATACTGCACAAATAAGCATTTTTTGTCTGTTAAAAAAAAATAGAAGCTATCAATTATAATACTGCAGTTACAGGCCACAGGACTATATATACACAGTGCAGTGAAAATATCTCCCTGGAATCACTTTCCATTTAGAAACCCAAAAGGGCCGTTCTGCAGACTAATACATTGTGAAATACTGAACCAAGTTCAGTGTTGCTTAAGAAGTTCTATCAAGAAAGATCAAGTGTATTGCAACTGAATTTAGTTATCAGGGAAATAATAAATCAACAATTCTAGAGACCGAAGTGCATTATCTATGAACTGCTTTGAGATCCTCAGTTGAGGTGCTAGCAAACCAATTTGTTACTAGCCTTAGAACATGACACAAGACCACCAAAACTCCACTAGAATGAGGTGCCAATGTGTTCCCACTGGACAATACAGAAATAAAAGATTGGAAGAATCCTCTACAGATCTTCTAGTCCAGGGGCATCCGATTCATCTAGCCCTATGGTTTGGACTGGACAGTGAGGCTTATTTTTTGTCGCCGACGGCAACCAAAAACCTTGGATTCAGCAATAGGCAAGAGATGGGGGCAGTAGCAGCAGTGTTCACCCCCCAGGTTCTGGAGCCTAGCCAACAAGCCCCACAGGTTGGAAAGCCCTGATCTGGTTCAAACCTCTGAACTGAGTCAGAAACAAGTATCCTAGATAATCCTCAAGATACACTTGTCTAAACTATTCCTAAAAACTCCAATGAAGATTCCACAACTTCCCTAGGTAGCCTGTTGTTTCATCACCCTCACAGATCGATATAATATAGAACCTAGATCTTCTGCGGGGCAAATTAAGCTTGCTTGTTCTTTGCCTTTCCCCTGTACTCACAGTAAACAATTGATCACCTCCCCCCCATCCCCATACAACCTTAGGTATTAGAAGACTTATGTTAACAGGTCCCCCTTGTCCCTCTTAGTTGTCTTTTCCAGATTAAAAAACTCAATTCCTTCAGTCTCTCCTCAAAAGTCATGTTTTCTAAACCACTTACTCTTGTTACTCTATTCTGGACTCTCTCCCATTTGTCTACATCTTTCTTAAAGTGTTGTGTCTGGATCCAATATTCCAACTGAAGTCTCACTGGTACCCAGTAGAGCAGATTGATTATCCTCTGGCACCTGACACACAACACTACCACAATATTTTCTTTTCTTTTCTACAATATCAACACATTATTGACTCATAATTACTTTGTGCTCTACTATAATCTCCCTGATACTTCTCAGCTATTCTGCCGTCTAGCCAGTTATTCCCCATTTTTTTGCACATTTGACACCTTCCTCCACCTTTGAGTACAGCACTTAACACCTGTCCACTGAATTTCATCCTGTTGCTTTCAGACTCTTTCAATTTGTCAAGATTGTTCCGAATTCCAATCCTGACCTCCACAGAACTTGAAAACTCTTCTAACTTGGTGTCATTCTCAGATTTTATAAGCACACTTTCTATTCCATCAAAGCCAGCTATGAAACATCAAACAGGACAGACCACTGGATCCAGGACAGACCACTGCAGCACCCAGAAAAGGCCTTCCCAATTTGACACATGGTAGCCAGGCTTTGAAAACAGTTTCAAAATTTCAAACTACTCTGTGAGAGGGGAGGCAAATGCAGGGGAACGGCGGTGCTCTGACCAGGAGTTCAAGTGCCATGACAGGGGACAGCCCCGTAGGACTGTGGGCACCTTTGGGTAGTGCCGCAGCAAGCAGAGCACAGGGGGGATCACAGACCCCTGGGGGGTGGAAAGTAAACGACGCCAGCTGGTGGGACCAGGATAGCTCGACTACAGGTCAGCCGGGCCCCAGGGAGGTCACGCTGGGAGAATGGGCAGAGGCTGGGCATGGGGCAGCTGCCTGTCCCCACGGCTGCTAGGAGAGGAGGGACAGATGAGTCCCCCAAAGTGACCAAAGGGGTCCAGGGAGAAGGAATTCCAGGAGCCCATCGGCAGATGCTGGACACTTTTTCAGTTAAATTTTCCTCAGTTACAGTTAGCCCCGCACAAGGCTGGTTTAGTTCCCCAAGAGCTGTCCCGAAGATGAGGGACAGACACGGAAAGACTGATGGCCAGGACAACCCAACCCATTTTAAGGCGGGCAGTGTGGATGAGGCGAGATCATCTAGGGGAAGACCTGCGATGAGCAGTGTTTGCCTAGACCATGGACGTGGTAAGAGTGGGGTAAAGGGGAGGTTGGAGCCCCATGAAGAAAACCCAGGGTCGAGACCCAATTTGGGCCACCTACAGAGAACTGCCTCCCCAACAAACAAAAGATCAAAGACGTGGCAGGTAAGTAGAAGCTGCGCCCAAACCATCTAGGTGGCACCAAAGCTCGATCTCATCCCAACATCACTGGGACCAAAGACAGGCCAAAGCCCTATAACACCTACAAGCGACATACTCTTTGAAAGCAATTCAGGCTTTGGAAAATATGTTTTGATGCACCTGATGGCGATTACATCTAGACAGCAATACTCAGATTCTTTATGAGACTGTTCTTGACTGTTTTTTTTTTTTTAAATGCTTTATTGTCATCTAGATACTTGCAAAGCAATTGCTTACTAGTTGGTTCCAGAACCTTTCCAGGGAACAAAAATCAGACTGATGCGCCTAATCTCCCATCTTCTCCTTATGCCCCACTCTTTAGGGGAAAGGTAGAAAACTAAAAATGAAGTTTAATTTCCTATTATATTTAATCCTTGGTCTCTCTCCTGAAATGATGTCAATCTTATTTAGTTGAGGCAATGGCTTTTATGATGTACACATATTCCTGCTAGAAACTGGACTGGAAACAACCTGTTTCACTCAAATTCCATCAAACAGTAGCAACTTTCACCTATTACCTACCTGGGGCAGATTTAAACAAGGGACCACAGAAAAGAAAAGAGACCATATGTCATCAACCCTGTGAAAGAATGTTCCACTCAGCTTTTAGTACTTCATTGTGTGGATTTCCCTCCCTTCATCTTTAAAATAAAATCAGAATAGAAAATGTCACCAGCAGCAAAATTGTTAGGAAGTTTTTAAATTCATATTCAAGAGCTGTTTATATTAGAAGCTAGACAGAAAAAAAAATATTCCTTTTATAGGAAAAAATTCCCTTAACATATTCCTTTTATGGAAAAAAAATACTTCAGAACTGGTAACTGGTATTTGGAAAATTCCCCCAAATGAAGTGATATCAACAGTGTTTTTATTGGTCTGTTTCTAAGACAAAACTAAAAACAAAAATAATCATTGAACTTTTCAGTCTTTGCTTCAAGTCTCCTGGCTCAGCTCATGAGACAATTCAGCTGAAATGCACAGAGGATGATGAAGTATAGCTGTTAGTTGAGCTTTCTGGTTAACAGATGTCAGCATGGTCTCACATTCAACAAATGATGCTTTTACTCCAAAGATAACACAGTGCCTGAGGCAGAAGACATACAACAGCCAAAAGATTAGAGTTGGTTTCTATTCTCCTCTTGACCCACATATGCACTTCTCTTGAAGGGACAGAGC